GAGACATTCACAGTAGGAGTGGCTTCTGGGAACACCTGACGTGCAACAAATTGGTGGTGCACTTCTCCTTCTGGAACGCTCAAAAGTGGGACTTGGGGCCTTGGTCCTTTGCGAAGCCTGCGTAACGCTGGCGACGCCTGTGGAGATGGAGTTGGCTGGGCCTCAAAGTCATCTTCTTCTTCTTGCACTGGTGGGATGACTTGTTGTTGGGGAGTACTCGGGGTGTCTTGTTGTTGTGTGTGATCAGCCCATGATGCATCCTGAGCAATTGGCGTCAGAGGACGACCAATGCTGATGAGTTCACTATTCGTGAGAACAGGCGATGATACCAAGTTGTGCTCGATCTGAGGAAGAACTACATCATCTTCAACATTGTCATGGTGACCAATGTCTTCAGCAGCGGTGGGGTCAACTGCTGGAATGTCTTCAGCTTCAGGAGCCTCTGTGGAAGCAGACTCATGAACTACCATCCGTCGTTCTTGATGCGAAGAGTCAGGACAAGCAACCGAGATGGGCTCGACAACAAGGGGCTCTGTGGGAGCAGCCCGATCTTTCTTGGTTTTGCGCTTCTTCTTGGAGGGAGCGACATCAGAAGCTTCAGGATTTTTCCTCTTTCTGGCTTCAGCTCGGTAGCCCTTGCCTTCTTCAGTACTGAAGCGGTTGACTTAACCTTTGGCTTCGAGTCGGACATGCTGCTTGGGAAGACAATGCGAGGTTCTTTCCGCCTTGAAGGTGCAGATTTGTCAGTCGATGGCTTCTTCTTCTTTGCAGCAATTCTGGGGTCGATGCCATGACGCCCAAGAGCCTTGCGCTTCTTAGCTTCATTGTAGGCTTGCACGCACTTGTCAGCCAGAATCTTCATGCGCCCATGAGAACCTTTAGCTTCTTCTCGTTTCTTGAGAAATCTTCCTTGAGCTCGTGCATCATAACCTTGAAGTTTTTGACATCTTGCACGCCGAGCTTTGCCATGTGCTTCTTGAACTGAGCTTTCTCATAGTTGATCTTGTGCTTCGGTTCAATGATGCGCTGGGCTAGAGCTAGCTCAGAAGCAATGGCGCCAGTGAAAGAGACGCTGAGGCCAATTGGAAGTTGCAGATCTTCAAAGCTGAGATTGGGGGTTTCAAACCACTCATCAATGAAGTTGTGGATGATTGCCACGTCAAAGAGAGGCAAATCATTGAAGATTTCTGCTTCTTCCTTGCTCTTAATCAGTTGCTCAAGAGCGTCATCTGCAAGATCTTCATCACTGGACAGATCAATGTGTTCGTCTCGCATAATGGCAGCAGGGGTCAATGCCTGATCAGTATTCTTTTTCATCTCCGTCTTCTTGGAGATACGTGATAGATCTTCAGACTGCACACTGTCTTCAGGAGGTGCAGTAGCCAGTGGCTTCGCATGTGAAGCTTTTGGAGGAGCAGCTAACTTTGAAGCTTTAGCCTTCTTTTGCTTCCGCGGCTTTGGAGTAGGAGCTGGGGCTTCATCAGTGTCGGCATCATCATCAGAATGATCTACTTTGGCACCTTGAACAGAAATGTGAGTGATAAGGCCATCAAGGTCGTAGAAAGGTCTGACAATATTGGGTTCAGCATCGTGTGTGCCGTCAGCCCGGGGAGCAGAAGGACCAGGGTTGAAGTCTAGTCCCAATGACTTCTTGTTTTCCTTGGCCGATGCCTTTGCATGCTGGAAGTTGCACTTGAAGAGATTTCGTGAAGACACCAGAGTAGTGATGATGGGTCGACATTTTCAGGCTGTGGTCCACAGACCATACAGGGATAGAAACCCTGAGCAATAGCTTCAGCTCTGGTCTTGGGTGGAAGGCTTCGGAAGAGAATGTCACCCCAAGGACTCTTGATGGCATTCTTCTCAGCATACTCCTGGGTCACAAACTTGTATTTAAACCATTGTTCGGCCCAATATCTTTGAATCCATTGGATTCGTGTCTTGCGCTGATTGTCATCCTCTTCTGGATCTGTCTTGTACAGCTCTGAGTGGTCATTAGGCAGATCTCTTGATGTTCCCCCTCGACGCTATCTTCCACCCTTCCTTGTTGATTTCTCTATAGCCATGAACTTCAAACTGAATGACTTCAACACGTTCAAAGGCTTCCGCTTGCTGGTCAAACAGGAACTGGCTTCGGGAGAGTTAATGTGATGCTGTAAGAATTCTGCAAACAAATGCAGACTATGAGAACCAAGGGATTCTCCAACGGACATGTACCTATGAGAGCATTAGAGATGCGAGGGAAGGGGAGAGGTCATATGCATTATCAGAAGATTTTGAAGATAAATCAGTTTGAAGACATTGACCTCATGGTGCGAAGACATTCACTTATGTGTTTGAAGTTGGTTCCAGATTTATACGAATCCGGGAATAGGTACAAGTGACGAATCTAACTCGTTATGAAGCTTAAGTGAATATACTAGGCATTATATGAGATGCAGACAAGATAGATCTAACATTGAGTAGGCAGAAACCACTTTCGGTAAACAGGATGAATCTTTTAGGATAAAAAAGGTGGTAAAAAGAGAGTTTTATTTACCACACGATGAACTGCTAGATGGGAAGAGTAGGAGACCGAGCAGTTCAATCCACCGTGCCCTAACTTGGCGACAGAGGACACCTACGGCGGTGGCGGAGAGGACGATGACCGCGGCCGGCGTGAGGACGGCGTCGGTGAAGTCGCGGCAGCTAAGCGCTTCGTCGCCGGCGTGGTCGAGAGCTAGCGGTGGCGCTAGGGTTTTGACAAGGTGGAGAGGTGGAAGAATGTTTTCTTGACCGCAGGGAACATGTATTTATAAGGAAGTATGCGACACAGCGTAATCACGCAGGTGCCCCTGGTGGTTCACATCTGAGGGACACGTGGCAAGCATGCAACATACTCGTAGTTGTCCCACGTTCCGACGCCCGCCCGAACTGTCGGATGGTCGTTCCGGCTTCTCCGGATTTCAGGCAATAAGGATAGAGCATTTAAAACAGACTTAATGTTTGTCTCTGTATCTTCTGCTGATAAGGACGCAGAGAAGACATTCGACAGTTTCAATAGAATGCATATGATTTGGACAGATAGAGTTTGAGATAGAAAGCATAGAGAGATTAGGGTCCGATCACATTCACTTAGTTCAAAAGATTCAACAAGGAAGACGTAGCTAAATCTGAGAACAGTTTTTAAAAAACTGGTTAAAAAGGGTTGGTTTCTTCCTCAGGCTTAATTGGTTGAGGTTTTATTGGGTTGAGCTTTTTTGGTTCAAGTTTGGTTTGGGTATGTAGAAAAACCAGTTTGGGTATAATTGGTTACGGGCTTAAAGAGTTTGGGCCTAACCGCTGGAAACTATGGGTTCCAACCCGGTTCCTCGCCCCGGAGCACAACTCAGAAAAAAAGCCCCATCGAGGGGTCGAGCTAACCTACCCATTCCCGATCCCGATCCCTCCACCACCGCCGGCCGCCCTCCACCGTCGTTGTTGCCCTTCACCGCCGGCCTACGCCCTCTCCCCCTCCCCTCCCCTCACCTCACAGATCAGTGCCCTAGTCCTCCTCCTGCTCACCTTCTTCACCTACTCCTTGACGTCCTCGTCGGCGGCGCCCGGCATCATCCGGCTACCGCGCGTCGGGTTCTGCGCCATGCCGGCTTCCACGCGTCAAGTTCGTTCAGTTTGGCAGCACCCGTGCCATCCCACTCATCTACAAGACTACAACGAGCCCGCGAGCGCCTCCTCGAGGTCACTTCCTCCAGATCCCCCTCCCACTGCCTTCGTCTCTCATTTTACTCCAGAAATTCCAGTTCTTTGGAAGTCAACCCAAAGTAGATCTTGGTGGTATCTTGATTATTCAGTGCAGTAGACCACTTTGTAAATTACAAACTAAGGTACATGGGTTGCTGTTCATGAACAACGCAAGTAGCAGGCATTTGGTTAATGTTCATGGACTGATGTTTCAAGAACATAGAATTGCTATTAGTTGCTCAATTCTTCTTGATTAGGATTTGAAGTTACTGTAATTAACATGTTAGTATGGCACTAAACACATGAATACCATGGTTTCTGAAAAATACCATGGTTCTGATAAGAATATTCAGAGTGATCCCCATCCTATTTTCCCTTTTCACTTATATATGGTAAACAACCATATTATATCTCCTGGTTATAGCCGATTCAGTTTGATTAGTCTATCTTCCAGCCGACATCGCGTGCGAGTCTCCATCTCTCTACAGTGCCATGATTCAAGGAAGCTCACCACCAGGGAGAACACTCGTTCGCAGCAAGCTATTTCTTGAGTCCTTGGCTGCCTATGTATTTTCGGCGAGTAGCGCACGGATTAGATTGATTGATCCTTTTGGAGAGCACTCATAAGAAGCAGGTTATATATGCTAGCTAGCTAGCCGATTCAGTATAAATGGTGCATGTACATGCACAAATAATTTAGGACCAGTTGGAACTTGGAAGTACATGCACGTATATAGACATATAATGGCAACACACTCCTAGTATTGAATTACTTCAATCTAGTTGACTGATCCTAGGATGGTATTACATGTGCATGGCAGCTGCATGCAGTCGGCAGCCAGTAGCAGTCGCTAATTACTCAGTCATTCATGCTAAGATATATGGTCAAAACTTTGGGTAAACAGCAGCAACCAAACACATATAAAACTGAGAAAAACATTGGTTTTGGGAAACTGTAGTATTCTTTGCCCACCCAGAGTAATACTGTGGTTTTCAATTACCACAGTTTAAATAAAACTTTGCTGCCAAACTAGCCCTGAATTTTATAATCTACTGGACATCCTTTGCAAATTCCTGTAATAGTGAAGAAATAGCTTCAAGATCATTTACATTAACAATGACATATTTCTGGACATCCTTTACGAACTATACTGTTGATTGTTTCTACTGTACTATTCTAGCATTTTCTAACAGTAATCTTCCATATGTATTTACACATGCAGTGTGTATCTGAAATTTTTGGCATGTCTACCTCAGAGGTTTCCGAGAGTGCCGATTCCATGGATGAGGATATGAGTCAAGTACCACGTGTTAGAAGGTCCAGGGTGTGGGAGCATTATGAACAAGATCTGGTTCGCATACATGGTGATCTCAAGGCTGTGTGCAAATATTGTGGGACACAACTTCACACCAAGTTTGGGACTACGAGTTTGAGAACCCATATTGTAGAGTATTGCAAATCAATTGAGGATGGTTGCAGGAAGAATTTTCTGTTGACTATGAAAAAAACAAATTCCGAAGGCCCGTTTGTGTTTGATCAAAAAGTTTGCCGTGATCTCATGGTCAAGTTTTGCATCCATGCTGAGATCCCCATTCTTAAGTTTGAAGATCCATACCTTCAGCCATGGATTGACTCAATGCAGCCAGCATTTCAAGTCATGGGTCATCACACAATTCATGATGATGCAATGAAGATGTACAAGGGAATGAAGAAAGACATCAAAGTTGAGTTACAAAATTTGGATTCTCGCATTTGCTTAACATCTGATATGTGGACTTCATCATAGAGCTTGGGCTGCATGTCCATCAACGCCCACTATATCAATGCAGAATTCATCTACAAGAAGAAGATCATAAGTTTCGTAGAGGTGAAGTATCCTCACACGGGCTATGCGATAGAAGAGGAACTTGTTGGTTTCCTAACAGAATGGGGCATAAGGGGCAAGCTGTTCACTTTGACACTAGATAATGCCAGTAATAATACTAATACATGTGATGAGTTAATAAAATATCACAAACCTGAGCTGCTCCTTGAAGGTCAACATTTGCATGTGAGGTGCTGTGCACACATTCTCAATATCTTGGTTCAGGATGGAATGAAGATAATCCATGAAGCTATTGACATGATACAAGAGTTGCTGAAGTTTATTGACTCTTCTCCTTCAAGACTTCAGGATTTCAATACAACTGCAAGTGGGATGGGTCTGCCTTCAAAGAAAGGTATCTCTGTTGATACACCAACCAGATGGAACTCAACATGGAAAATGCTTGTAGAAGCATTGATATACAAATATGTCCTCACTAGTTATGCAACTCGAAAGATGATAGAATCTCCAAGTGAGCAAGAATGGGAAAGGGCATCAGCTATTTGTGAGTTTCTAAAAGCTTTTGAAGAGCTTACCTTAATTGTTTCAGCTCATAGGAAGCCAACTACACATAAGTTTCTGCCGGTTGTGCTTTGTATTCGCCATGCATTAAAAGATCCAGGTTGACAAACCTCTGATATGTTGAAGGAATTGGCGGCAGCGATGCAAACAAATCTTGATAAATATTGGGATCCCGAGGAGAAGGAGAATGGAGATCCTAACCGTCGTAGAAAAAGGAAGGGCATTGAGTTTAACCACTCACTTGTCATTGCTACATTCCTGGATCCAAGGAGGAAAGAAGATTATTTGGATTTCTTCTATTGCAAGTTGTCTATCAACGAGGAGCAGGTTTCAAACAAGTGGAGATTGCTTTAGAATGGGTGAGAAAGTATGTCAAGGAATATGAGCTACTTGCAGCGACAAGCACTGCACACTCGACACCTTCTAGTCAAGGCAAGACCACTATTGGATCACCTATTGCAGGGAAAAGAAAGCTGGAAGAAGAGTTTGCCCAGCACAAGTCTCATCGGAGGTCACGTGTACACAAATCAGAACTTGACACATACTTGGAAGAAGCAAGGGAGCAGGATTGTGATGACTTTGATGTCTTGGGTTGGTGGAAGAGGCATGTTGAAAAGTTTCCTATATTGGCATCGATGGCCCGTGACTTTCTCACAATTCCTTTGAGCACAGTGGCGTCCGAATCATCCTTCAGTTGTGGTAAGAGGATACTTGGCGACACGAGAAGTTCTTTGACCCCTGATATGCTCGAAGCGCTTGTTTGTGCTAAAGATTGGTTGTTCAAACCAAAGGAGGGTGAGTTAATCACTTACATTTTGGTTCTACTACCTGTGTAGAATGTGATACATAAAACATGCAGTATAGAAGTGTTGATATGCCTTTAAATTAATATTTTATTTCATTTGCAGGAGATGGACAGTAAGGATGCAGCTAAAAATTTGGAACCAATAAAAAGAAAAAATATAATCTTGATCATCGTTATATATAAGCAAGGGCTAGTGAAGTTCCCAATTTGGTGGCCAAGCTGGCTCTTTAGAAAATCCCGATCATTCTTTAGGTGTTTATTAGTCCACTTTTATGTTTGTTTATGTTTATTAGTTGGCTCTCTAGAAAAATTAACAGTTGGCCAATTTGGTAGCAAACTGTTATATTTATTAGTCTACCTTTTTTCTGATGTTGCACAAGTTAGTGGCACCTCTTTGGTGTCCTTTCTTCGGTCTGTTAATTTTTTTGAAGGTTGTCGAGGAATAGAATAGAATATGTTCTCTTCGTTTTGGATTTAGGTGTTTGGAGATAATACTATGACCATGTACGGCCAAATATATTTGTACTATTTTATTTACTTGTTAAGGAATATATGGGTAAACATTTTGAGTCCAGTAGTTGCTTCTGCAACCACATTTTTTCCAACAGGAGGGGATTGGTTTGTGTGACTGACAAAACTCATGGCATCTCTCTTTTGTGTTGGTGCACACATTTGCTCCTCCAGCATCAGACTATTCTGGTTATTCTCTTGCCTAGAAATCCTGCTTTCAACAAGTTCAGAATCACCCGGCATGACATTTTCGGTTAATCTAAAGAACAATGGCTCCAAGTTGAAACACGCAGCCTTCAGCACTGAAGTCGTAGTCTAGTCTATATCATGGTCGCCATGAGCCCATGACATGCAGAAGTTACTATTATCCTCTGTAATCAAGTTCTGAACCTTTGAAGAAAATGTTATTCTTGTAATGATGGACGTGAACTCCAAGCATCTGATCTCAACCTGACTAAAATTTTAACTTTCAAGTGTATTCTTGTTCTGATTGTACATATATTGATACTTTACATGTATGGGTGGGGAACAGATCTAGAACCATAGGCTACAAACATAGTTTCTAGAATGGGTTAGTTTGGTTTTGGTGAATCTGTCATATGGTATAGTTTGGGCTGGGTGCCAATGCCAATTACGTGGGTTCAGTTTGGTTTGGTTTCTGAAATGTCATCACGTGGGTTCTGTTCAGGTTCAGTTCGGTTGCCCACCCACTCTCAGATTTAGACGTAGCTATAAGTGAATGTTGTAGAGGATAGAACACTAATATGTATATATCAGAAGACAATCAAATCAACATAGTGAAGATAATCATGAAGAGAAGTTGAAATTGAAGACAAACCAAATGTGAAGACATAGAAAATGTAACGCCATGAGTAAAACACTTCAAACAGAAGAATTTGGTGGTGGCGTTACCCACCGTATAGGAAGTATTAGACCCAGACACGGTGCACAATTATCGTGGTGCTCCGAAGTCAAATTCCACGTTAATGTATTCACACTCAGAATGTAAGTCTTCATTGAATGAAGATATACTTTACTTCGTGTGTTGCACATCTGTGTCATCAACATGCTTAAGTGTTAGGATGTGTGCCTGGTCACAGGACATTTGAGGATTCCAAGATATTTAGCTCACACCGTAACTTGCGAAATCTCTTCTCATCCAAGGGCTTCGTGAAGATATCTACCAATTGCTCTTCAGTGTTGACATGTATGATATCAATATCTTCCTTCATAACATGATCTCCGAGAAAGTGATGACGAATTTCAATGTGATTTGTCTTCGAGTGCTGAACTGGTTGTTGGCAATCTTGATGGCGCTTTCGTTGTCACAGTAGAGTGGCACTTGCTTCAGATAAATGCCATAGTCTTTGAGTGTTTGCTTCATCCATAGAAGTTGAGCGCAGCAAGATCCAGCAGCAATGTATTCAGATTCAGCAATGGAGAGAGATACACAGTTCTACTTCTTTGAAGACCAACATACAAGTGATCGTCCCAGAAAATGACATGTGCCTGATGTAGACTTGCGATCCACCTTGTCATCAGCATAATCAGCATCCGAGAATCCAACTAGATCAAACTCTGAGCCCTTTGGATACCATAATCCTAGTGTTGGGGTGTGAGCCAAATATCTGAGAAGTCGCTTCACAGCTAAGTGATGTGATTCCTTTGGTGCCGCTTGGAACTGGGCACACATGCAAACACTAAGCATGATATCTGGCCTAGATGCACATGAATAAAGCAAGGAACCAATCATGGAGCGGTATACCTTTTGATCGAACTCTTTACCATTGTCGTCGGGACCCAGATGATGTTTGGCTGGCATTGGCGTCGTGAAGCCTTTGCAATCTTGGATCCCAAATTTCTTCAGGCAATCTTTGAGGTATTTCTCTCGAGATATAAAGATGCTGTTGCGTTGCTGACGTATTTGAAGACCAAGGAAGAACTTCATCTCACCCATCATGGACATCTGATATTGCTCTTGCATCATATATCCAAACTCGTCACTGTATTTCTGATTGTTGCAGCCGAAGATAATGTCATCCACATATATTTGGCACACAAACAGTTCACCATCATATGTCTTCGTGAAGAGAGTGGGGTCGAGGGAACCAAGTTTGAAGCCTTTGCTCTTCAGGAAGTCTTTGAGTGTGTCATACCAAGCCCGAGGGGCTTGTTTGAGGCCATACAGTGCCTTGTTGAGCTTGTACACCTTGTCAGGATGTTTTGGATCTTCAAAGCCAGGCGGTTGTGCAACATACACTTCTTCTTCAATCTAGCCATTGAGAAAAGCGCTCTTCACATCCATTTGATACATAAGAATGTTATGATGATTTGCATAGGCCAGCAGTATGCGTATGGCTTCAAGCCTAGACACAGGAGCAAATGTTTCATCAAAGTCAATCCCTTCAACTTGAGTGTATCCTTGAGCAACGAGACGAGCTTTGTTTCTGACAACTTGACCATGCTCATCTTGCTTGTTGCGATATATCCATTTAGTGCCTATTGTATTGTGCTTACGAGGATCAGGACGCTTAACCAGTTCCCATACATTATTCAGCTCAAACTGTTGAAGCTCTTCTTGCATAGCTTGAATCCATTCAGGTTCCATGAAGGCTTCATCAACTTTCTTGGGTTCAGATATTGAGACGAATGTGAAGTGTCCATAGAAATTTGCTAGCTGTGTTGCCCTTGAATGAGTGAGTGGACCTGGTGCATTGATGCTATCAATTATTCTCTCAATCTGTACTTCATTTGCAACACGAGGATGTACAGGACGAAGATTTTGCTCTTGCTGATCATTGTCATCGTTAGAAGGATTGTCTTCAGGATGAGCATTGTCTTTAGGTTGATCAGGTGCGGAGATGATAAGTTCTTCTTCAGGCTGAGCTTCAGATGGTATAATTTCTCAAGTTCCCATAAGTTTGATTGATTCACTGGATGGAACTTCATCTAGCACATTTGGCAGGTGCTCTCTTTGCGAGCTGTTAGTCTCATCGAACCGCACATCCACAGTTTCAACCACTTTATAGTGAAAGAGGTTGAAGACTCTGTAGGAGTGCGAATCCTTTCCATATCCAAGCATAAA